TCAGTATTGTGTCTTTTCACAGCAGTAATCAAAGAATGAAGTATTCTCTGCTGTAATGAATCTACCACAGGCCCAAAAGATGAATATTTTAAACGCAAAAGCAATATGTTTGTTTTGAACACATTTAAGTTTGGCTTTAATAAAGCAATAGTGAAGTGTGCAATGAATTATATTGCTAGATGGTTAAAACTGGGCTGTGCAATATTTCTGAATGCATTTAATCCAAGTAACTATTCATTTTAAATGTGACTTATAAATATATATTACACGAATGTGTATGAATGGATGATTCAGGAAACAGAGAGATTTGTGCCTTCCCTTCCACTCCTGGCTTGCTTCAAAACCAGCTCGGCCTGACAATTAATTGAGGTCTGGAGCGAGAATATTATTAAGAATGAGCTGAACCTCACTGGGCTGAAATTACGCACCCACATGAACTATTCAAGGTAGGAACTGTTAAATCAAGACTGACGTGTCCTGCTGGCTCCTCAACCTGTCCTGGCGGATGGGTGGGCCTTGCCAATGAGTCCCATCACTGCAGTGTTGCCGCCTCTGCGAATCCTGAAGCCTTTAGTAAAGACAAAGAGGATGCTGCTGGCTGCAAACAATGGATAGGAAATTATGAGCCTTCCACCAGCACCGGTTGCACCTTGAGATGCACCAAGTAACCCCAACACTGACAGGTCCAGTTCTGCCAAGGAGGCCGAGAGAAGTCATGGGCTAACCTTACTTCGCTCCAAAGCACTCTGATCTTTGCTTAAAAAACACAAACAAGTTTTCTTTAACAATAACAACAACAAAAAAACCAACACACACAGGAGGTTTTTGGCTTCCACTGCTGCTTTGTATTTTGATATTTTGATTCCCTCTTCTTGCACTACAGTGAGGGCTTTCCATGACAATTGTCGCTTTAAGGAAAAGTCACTTTTTCCACAGATTCCCTGGCCCTCAGTGAAGAATGTTTATGGTCTGAATGACTGCTATACCTCCTGGCATCAGCAGAATGGAGCTCCTTCTTTCCATTTCAGCTTGTTCCAGCTGAACAGCTTTTAAAATAATTCGACCAAAAAGAGATGACAGGTGCCTAAGTCACTTTGCTACTCTGTCACATTCCTGTGGACTTGTGGCCTCTCTGAGAATGAGAGGTTCCTCAGAGGTAGAGTATAGAGCATAGAGCATGGTCAAGGGTTTCTCCACTTGCTTTTTGTGTTTTGCACAGTGAGGCACTTCATCTTGTCCCAAATAATGAGCTACAGAACAGATTCTGCAAGAATTTTCAGTGGAGCTAAATCATCTGCTTCTTCGTTATTTGTTGCATGTACAGTGTTCCCTAGCACCCTGCTTGAAGTGATGCTATGGTCAGAAAAGGGTCCACATATCTTTGGAGCCTTCTTCTCCATACGCCTTTTCACTTTAAAACATGCACGCCAGTGCAAAAATCAGCTTTCAGAACCCAGTTAGAGATTTCTGACTAGCAAAACATTTGCAAATTGAAAATACCAGCGGCAGAATCCCCACAGCGATTTCATGTGACACCATCTGAGCGTCTGCCCACAGCAAACTACTGAGATGTGCGTTTACAGCAGTTTGGAAATGCAAGCATTGTTTCCCAGTTTTAGCTAGTAATGTTCTTCATTTGTCAGGTCAACTGACCTGCAGCATGGCATCAAAAAGAGAATTTATCAACAGAATTTATAATGAAAGCAAAGAGAAAAGCACATATGCGATTATCAGCAATTACGGCATAATTCCAAGTGCTTCAATTATCCAAGTTCAGAACCAATGTACTTTACCTGGAAATTGCCCTTGAAACAGTGAATTCAAAATGGAAAATTCTTATATAGTCTAAGTTAAATTATTTAAAAACCAGGAAAGAGGGTTCTTAATTATTTAATGTTTCACCAATAATTATACAGCTCAGTATAATGTTCACTCACTGGAGAACCTGATTTTCAAGGGAACATTTGTGAACATCAGTCAAACAAAACACGCATGCCAGACCCTGAATTCAGTCAGTGCAATGCACATTCATTCCAACACAGCATTAACATATTAGTCAAAATCCAAGTCTTGACTCAATGGCAAACCTAGCCAATAATTTCTACATTAAAATGTTTACACAGAAAAGCACCTGCAATTCAGTGTTCCAATATATTTTTAAAAACAAACAAACAAACAAAAACAACACAACCAAAACAGTGTGCCTTGTATTACTATATTTCTTAAATGTTGTGTTCTAAATAACTGAGTTAGAGATGGGGCTATAGACATGGAAAACAGCAGACTATGAAAATAGTCCTCAGAAAGTTAAAACTGTTTATCAAAATAAGGACGTGGACATCTTAAGGATATTTGCTTCAACAGTTCTGAGAGCCAGTTTCAAAAGGCAGTTTTGAAATTAGTTGCCTGAAATACTGGCTTATTTTGTGCCATGGGGAGTAAGGCTAAAGGAACACCAGGTATTTCTGAACAAAACAGCCAACAAAACCCCGAGCTGTGGGTCACCATCGCAGAGCTCCTCAGTCTAACACTGTATAGATCTGCAAAGCATTACCACCATCAATTAATAATCCTAAGCACAAAATCTTCACTTCCATGGGACAAGCTCTGGCCTTACGATGGGCAGCTCCCACATTGAGTACCCCACACCTCTCATGGGCCAGAAAATACACAAGCCCTTTGAGCATGAGGGCTCTGGGCTCTACAAATCTTCCCAGGCAGCCTTCTGTCTCAGAGCAGAGCTACCCAGGAGGAACATCTGATACAGACAGGTTTAATGGCACACTGCTGATCTATCACTTCAAGCCAGAGGCAAGGAACTGAAAAAAAAAAAAAAAAGGAAGAAAACCATTTCCTTTCAGCCACAAACTGACTTGTTGCTGGGTCACTTTGCCAAGGATTTACCTTACTCCCATCACTCTGGAAGAGAACAGTCTTTTTATCAGTAATGGCTTCAGATTTCATGGCTCCTGGAGCAGTGGAGCCCAGCTGCACCATCATCAGGACTTTACAGCCCAATGTCCTGTAGCCTGCAGGGCTAGAAATGATGAAAAGTATAGATTTCTGGTTCTCTCAGGGGACCAACACACCCGGTTGTGGTCTCAAGGAGTCTGAGCTCTCTTGCAATCAAAGATTTTTTTTTTTAAAAAACAGAATTACAGACTGTTTGAGGGTATTTTTAGTGAATTCAATGGCTCCCTCTAAACTGTACAAAGTGGGATGCTTGATAACGCAGCGCCTGGCTTTGCGGGGGGGGAATACAAAACAGTCCCACTTGTTGTTAAGATCCTTGAAAAACTGTTTTTTTTTGGCAGAAATGTCACATGTAGACTAGGAAACATTGTGACATGGGGCAGCATTTCATGCAGCCTAGGTGAAGCATATTTGGGCAGTGAATTGCAATTAAATTCAGGCAATCAAATTTAGACACACTATGCTGGAACGTGTATTGCATACCGTGACATAGCACTTGCTCCTTCTGACACCATACACACACAGCATCTCTTCATCATGACATAAATCACATAACAGTGACTTTGGTTGTTCTATTTCTAAACTGTTGTCACGTCAGGCCAAATTGAATTTGCCCAACCCTTCCGCCAGCACATCACCATTAACAAGTCTGGGGACGCATCCTGCTATGCCACTGTAAATTATCACAGCTCCACCAACTGCACTCTAACATGAAACGCCACAGAAGCGCTCAGAAATCAGCAGTGATGAATTTAACGTGCTAGCTACTTCCACTAGCCTGATGTCAGCAGAGTTGCAGCAATGTATGCAACACGAGGATTCGCCCTTTTATCCTTATCAAAGCTTTTGATCAAAGGCAGTGGCATAAAAAAAAAAGACAACCTTATTTAATTTAAGCAGTACAGTCACACCTGTCACTCTAACATCATAGAGAAAGGAGGTATTTACATATGGGTACTTGCATGTTCTTTTTAATCTAACTTCACAGACATAACAGTAAGATCATTTTCTCCCACAGTAAGAGCTAGTGTGAAACCTCACAAAGGACTGATGTTTTCCCTTGCTCTTCCCTCCCTCATCTTCTCTCCTTTGAAAAAGCAACACCTTGAATTACTTCAAAATCTTCGTTAGCTACTTATTAATTTGGGAAGCTTGACATAGAATCATCAGAGTTGGAAAGACCACCAAGATCACCTAGTCCAACTGTCAGCCCATGCCTGTGACTGCTCTATGTCACGCAGTGCCACATCCACCCTTTTCTTGAGCACCTCTGCCACTTCCCTAGGCAGCCTGCTCCAATTCCTCACCGCTCTTCCTGAGAAGAAATTTCTCCTAAGTTTAGTGATACAGAGTTGCTCCAACTCACTCCATTCAGCTCGCCCTCATGCCAGTGTAAGGACAAACCCTATTCCTGATCAAACCTGACCCAACCCCATGCTGCTGAACCACCAGGTGACCTGACCTGCCCTCCACCGTGATCAGCAGGCTGCACCCTGAACCAACAGATGAGCTCCCTGAGCATTCATGTTTTTGAGGATGCATTTCAAAATAGGGAATGCGTAAATCCACTCATTTGGAAACCAGGTCTCCTCAAGAACTTGTTACTATGACAATTTAGAAGAAGCTGCTGCAGACGAGACAGATGAAACGTATTGATTAATTTTCTCCCAAGCTATGTTTGAATTTTAAGTTTTCTCTACGCAGAATCAGTTCACAGCAGTTTGTTAGTATTCTGGGGACCTGAGCAATGTGCTTCAGCAGTGAAGGAAGTTCCATGATAAATGTGTTCTCAATCTGCATCTCCAAAGCGGCTATAAAATCGGAACAATTGATGCAAAATTCTTCATTACATTTCTAAATATGCTTATTTACATTTTAAATCACACATAGACAATATGAAATATTTTTCACTTAGACAGGTAGGAACAGGAAAACAGATGCATCCATTAAACCTGAAACAATTCAATGAATTAAACAGTACTTGGTGAAAGCTTTGGTTTATGGATATAACCCTTGTTTAAACTTACTTGAAAAAACACGGCCATGGCTCCTACTTCCCTGTTTTCTAGAACTGCTGTTCCAAAACTGTCAAAGTCATCGGGATTGTAGAAATAAATCTGCATCTGTAAAAATTAAAAACAATAACAAAATTACGTCAGTGTTGATTCATCCAGCTTTCAAGTGAGGTAGTGCATATAGGCTGTACATACAGCCAGTGTTATGAAACGGAGATAGAGGAATTCTGCTGAACAATATTGTTTAACTAGCATCTTGATTAATAGCACAGCCGCCCTACTGGGACAGTAACCAGGGAACAGAGTCAACGCAATGCATTTTAATAACAAACCAAAGGATAAACAGTATGGCCAGTCAGTTTGGATGGCAAACTTTGTGCTTTTTTTGCCAGGATCTCTTCATTTCTTTTTTTTTTCCAGTGCAGGCTCATCTCCTGTTCCGTTAAATGTGCTAGACATTTTTATCTCAAAAACCATAGAGAATTTTTGAAAACGATTTCAGTGTTTAGAGATATTCCTTTACTCCTAAAGCAATTTGTAAGATAAAAGTGTGCCTCTGTAGCAATGCATTTTCATGAGCTTCTGATATTCAGGACTATCAGTTTGGGTCAGAATTCTTTCTGACTTCATTTTATGGCTTCTACTTCCAAAGCTTTAGTGCACAACAAGAAGTATAAGCGAGACAAAAATGGATATTCTGATGGCATTTTGGACAAATAACAAATTGCACTGTTCAGGGCAATTTTCACATCGTTACTGGGTGATGAGGAACAGTCCCACAGTGCAGCCGAATGCAGCTATAGGTCTGCTTGGACTGCCCATGTCTCCTGGCACTTTGCTTGGCATCTCTCTCTCCTGTAAGTCTGTATGCAAGGAAACCCACTGATGGAATCAGCTGGGGCTTTTCTCAGATGGCAAAGCATGAGAAATCCTGCCTTCTTCAAATATACTTTTTCCAGATCTTGTGTATGGCCAGATGAGACGATATCCTTTCATTTCTCCCAAATGTGGGCCCACTCATTTTTACTGATTCACAGGCTTCCAGCCCTGTATACTCTCTGTAATGTACAATACTGGCAAAGCACCTATATATCTAATAAAACATCACCATACAGAGAGAAGGACAAGATGAAGATGGGTCTCTTCTGAGCTGGAGGTACTTTTGCAACACGAGGATAAAATAAGACCACACTCCAAACTGCTCACAAAAAAAGGAAAAAAAAAGGAAAAAAATCATCTGGCACTCACTCTAGCTTCATAAAACTGGAAAGCAATTTTCTCCCCCTACTTCGGCCTCCCTATTCCCAGCACACTCGCAGCACACTGGGATGCTGGCAATATCTCACAAAGTTGGTGCTGCCTCCAGGTCCGAACTCGTGCTTTGAACACACGCAGGCTGAGGTGCCACTGATCACTGATGCAGAAATTACAAACAGTTTGTTTCAGGTGGGATTGCTCAGACTTCAATTAAGTCAGTGCAGACAAAAGCTCACGAAACACTTGCAAATTACATTTTACTCCCCTTTAAAATAAAGCCTAAAATGAGGTATACCTGATATAAAATACCTCACTATATGGCCCTCATAGGAGCTTGTGAAGAAAAGTATCACAGAGTGAGTTCAGCATATGCCAAAGTCATTTTGGATCAATTTTGCTCACGGCATTTTAAGGAAATTAATTTTTACAATACACTTTTGGATAGCAGTGCAAAGGGCTTTGGTAAAAAAACGCTTAATTCAGATCGCTCGTCGCAGCAGTGCAATTTCAGAGACTAATCAAGAACCACACTCTGCCTTGATTACCAAACACACTGAAACATTTTCCCGCTGCTCCCTGGTGGTTTTCCAGGGAACATGGTTCCTCTCCTTGCATCCATCAAGTCAAGGGGAACTGTCTTGTATGAAAAATTATCGTCATCTGTCATACAGCAGCTTCCTTACTCGCTCATACAGCTAGAAGGAACATTCTAGGAGTGGAACCTCCCAGGAATTGCTTTTACAGAATTTGCACACGCACACACACTGCAAAAACAATGTTAAGAAGATGAAAAAGTTACATCCTCAAAGCTGCACGACTCAAGCTGCTCAAGAAGCCACACCTGGACACCTCAGCATTAGTATTATGACAATTTTCTGATTATGTAATCCCATGTTCTCTTCCATAACACAGTCTCATCTGTTTTCCCACAATTCACAATAAAACACAAATGTACTAAAGATTTCTGTTCTTTTTTACATAATATCTATAATCTTACATGCATTTATAGGTAGACACTTTGTTTAGTATTTTCCATGGATGGCACAATATTCTTTAAGTACAAATCAGGAATAAGACAGTTAGCCATAAAATTAATTTCACTGCATACTTAAGTGGCCTAAACATGCTGGAAAATTTTCATTATAACTCCTTATTATATAATTAGTATATACAATGTATGGTGCACTTTGCATATAAATGACTTGTACTGTCTCTGCCTGGTACATTCAAAGCAGTAATACACAATACAACAAAGGAGCATTCAAGCTAATGAAAATTTGGATCTTATTATGATACGTTATTTGTGAAATTCATAATGGAGAATCATTCAAGCTTGCACATCCAACCTGAATCCTGCCGCTGCCTGACTTCAGCACTGTAAGCCACTGTTTCACACATTTCTCTGTATGATTTCACACAGCTTCTAATGTCCAAAATTTAAAAAAAATCTTCTTCAACAGCTCTGAATCCCTCAGCCACGGAAAGCCTGCAATGCCTTTCTAGTTTCTTTAGCTTGACACTAACTGCAATCACAGCGCTCTGCTCCTCACTTCTTTGCTGTCAGTGCTCCAAATCACCTTCCAGTGGCACAGGTCCCAGGGGGCACAAGAGCCCTGTTCTCTATAGCACAATATATTACATTTATCAGCCTTTCACATCTAGACCAGCTACAGCTAACAAGGCCAGGAAAGGCTTACATGGGCTTTCTTAATCGCAGCAATGCAGCAAGCATATACCTTGTGAAGATCTATTACAAAAAAAAAAAGGAAGAGCTCAAACAACCCTAAAATTTCAGTGTTGTGATAAGGCTAAGCTGAAAGAGATCTGTGTGAGGCACATAAAGGTGCTTTTCTTGCAGGATGACTCTCACCATCCCGAAATTCTACTGACGACGACTGCAGTTACAGAGCTTCACCAAGTCAAAGGGAGGGCAACGCTTGCTTCTAATGGAAAAACTTCATGCTTTGACACTCTTCACACTCTGAAAGAGTAGAATTGTTTTCACTCAAACTTGAGAGAGATTCGCTGTACAGCTGAGATTAAGCCTGAAAAAATTTCACTGAAGGAGAAAATCTTCAGAATGTCACAAGTGCCTTAAAACAGAGGATTAGCAAAAAAACCCTCACTGCCATAACCCAGGAGATAATTGTAGTCATCCTACAAAACCACATCTTGTTTTCTACTCTTTTCTATCCAGAAATATGCCCAGCTGTTACTGTTTCCAAGCACTGCAGGCGTTTTTCCAGGCAACAACTCTTCTACAAAGAAATGTAGCACACACATCCAACACCTGAATTGTTTCCCAGCCCTGAGCACATTGCCTCCATGCTCTTACTGCCCACCTGCAGTCCTGCACTGTGCCATAGGGCAGCAGTTCTCTCCTGCTCGGGTCAGCTTACTTCTGCACAAACACCTTTCTTCAAATACATTCGTCCAAACTGCAGCTATTCCGCAATAAAATTTGGGCTCCACTTTGAGGTTATTGGATTTTGACTCAGAACTGGTTTGCTATCACTCTGGTCTTACAAAGACCGGCTGTCCAAAATGCACACGTGCATTATGAAAATCAGTGTCCATCAGAGATCAGTTCTGATTTTAAGTGCAATTGCCTCTGAATAACTCAATGCTCTCTACGAAACATCGCTAGCTTGCAAAAATGGAGCACACATCACATGAACAACCTCTACCCACCACCTGTCCACAAATAAACTGTTCTGAGCTCTGTTTGGGTGCTCCTTCCCTGCTTGGCAGGATGGGCATGTAGACAGACACCACCATGCCTCTTATTGCCCCATTACAAAGGCAGAAAGTTTATATTCCGATACAGACCATCATGGCTCAACTCATTCAGCACTTACGAGAGAAAAGCCACAAAGAGCATTTGATAGATCCCAAAAGACGTGCATGAGTTCAAAGCAATTCTAGGAGACGGGAAAGCAAGCAAGTGAATTTTCCATAGACAGATGCCAAGTATTTTAAAAATAAATAATTGAGACTTTTAAATTGGGCTGCTATCACCCTGTGCAACCTCCCACGGCAGATTTCTCTTTAGATTAAAAAATGAACAAAGGCTCATTGTGCTGTCACAGATGTGGAGTACAGAATATTCAATAGGATCAGGAATTCTGGTGGAAGGAAAAAGATCATCAGAATTAACTTTCTGCTCATTTCCTTCCAGCAATCCAAAGGCTACCATGCAATTTAAAGGGGAAAAAAAAGAAAAGAAAAAAAAAAGAAAAAAAAAGGTTTGATAGGCCAGCCAATTTCTTGATGAATCAGGCAGCAAGACACAGAGACAACAGCAGTGTGTTTAGAGACAGAGTAATTTCACACAAGCAAAGTGCACAGGCATAAGCAGGTACACTGCAAATCCATGCAGAGTGCTGAAGCAAACAACGTGAAGTCTTTCCTCTAAACAAAGGGGTTCTACAATGAATATACGAGCTCTTAGTAGCTCTACTCCTTGTATTCTAAGAATAAATTATTCTTGGCCACTTACACAGCTGGGTTTAAAACCTCTCAAAAAATAAAATTTAAAAAAATCCACCAAAATCCGTGCTAACATTATGAATCATACATGAATTTTCTTAACTGAAAGCCCGTATGTAACTTATGTCTGCTTCAGACATGTGCACAGGGAACTAGACGATGTGATCCATTTGACTGGAATAAAAACTTTCTACAGACATAACGTAATCTTCACTGCAGCAGTGAACATTCCGAGTTACTGTCCTGCAGTCGGTGTGTCTGCTGGACAGTGAGATGGGAGCAATCGAGTCTGACGTTTGGCTTCTCATTATATTCTCTTAAAAAATAACAATTAAAAAAGCAACAAAAAAACCCCAATTAAT